AGGTGCCCAGCCTGGGGCCTTAAATTAGTCACATAATGGTTCCAACACTTTTAATTCAATTAAAATTAATAACTTTTGATTGAACATCCAAGTGCTATGGTGGGCCGTGAGCCTTTGTACATACAAAGGTATAGTTAATGGCCTTAGCAGGAGCGCTTGGAATAAATTGAAGTATGAGCCCACCCTTCTCATTTAATCCACCCTGGTGCTTCCAGCTTCTTCCCAACCCACCCCATTCACATGAGTCCCAAGGCCTCTCCAGAGTTCTCTCTGCCCTGCTTTTTGCCTATTGTTGTGTGTATAGACAATAAACTCACAGAGGATATGAACTGACACTCCATGGGATGTGCAAAATAATTAGAAGAAGGGATGGAAATGTTAGAAATTTAACTTACCTTTACTTTCAACCTAAAACAAAAGGGAAGGAAGCTTTACCAGTGTTTTATATTTGTTGGCACCCTAACTAACCAGATATATAACAAATGAGTTGTCAATACTAAAACTGATAATAGGCAATTTATTTTATTTTTTTATTTTTTTTTTTCCAATGCAAAAGCATAAGAGTCTTTATTCGAGCTAGCTCGGCTCCCCCACCTTGCCGACGCAGCGACAGGAAGCAGAGAGAGAGATAACTCTGTGTGGAGACCGGTTATATAGGGGGAGTTGGAGGAAGGGGAGGAGAAAGGACTGTGCTCTGCCGATTGGCCAGGCACAAGTCTGTGTCTTGTTCCTGGGTGTGGCTAGTAGAGGCTTAGACTTCCGGGAAGAAGCTCCTTGCCAAGCACATGGCTAAGGTAAGATGGAGCACTTACCCTGGGGCAAGGTGGAGGGCCTAGCCCTTACCCTGGGGCAAGGTGGAGGGCCTAGCCCTCGCCCTTTCATTCCCCCTTTGTCTTGGAACTTCCGGCTCAATCATGAGACGGACTGCTTTTCTATTCCACCGTTGCTAGAGGCCCGGACTGGGCATATCTTAACAAATGGTCTGGTGGAAGGGAAAGAAACCATTTTAGCTTTAACAACTTCTATTGAAATAGGATTTTTCTTCTTAAAATTCCTCCATGGCTATCAAAAAGCCAAATCAAGATTAATTTATCTACTGTCCTGATGTTTGCATAAACACAACAAGAATGGTAACTGACTACCTTTGCTGGAATCTCATGGTTGAATCTTAATGTGCCCCGTAGGGCCAGGAAGCCGCGCCACCCAGCTGCCATCAGGCCCGCCTGCAGTATCTGCTGAGTTAGGTGAATCCCTCACCTGTAACAACTCCACCTGAGCCCACGCTCTAGGCTTTAAGCCCATCTCAGTAGCCCTCCTACTTGTTGCGGCCCAGAGTGTGTGGGGGTTCCGCAGGAACGCAGAGGCATCCCTACTGCTCCCCTTCTACTCTTACCAACCGCCAATAATGGTAGGGCATGGGCCTGACGCTCCAGCGCCAGCCATCTTCAGGGCTTCCAAGCAGGATACCAGGCTTTCTTCGTGGCATTTTTACTGGCTTCAAGTCTTTAGAGCTCAGACAGGGCTCTTTAAAACATGATACTCCAGTCAAAGTTTTCCATTAATAAAACCACTATTAGGAACCAGTCTTATTGAATCTATGCAAAGAAATGTATTGCCATGACTTATTTAGCATTGCCAATATTTCAGAGGAATTATGTAAGGAGAAAAACATACTGATCTGCTCTAAGATTTTTTGATTTTTCCTTGCCAATTCCTTTTCATGGAGTTATAACAAAACAGTAACTGTTGGCATTAAACTTTCTTTCTATGCATAACCATGCCTTAGACCTTCTATTCCAAACAGGCCTTTCCCAGCTTTCTACAGTTGAGGTTTGTACTACCCCCGACATGGGCATGGTTATGCAGGCCTGCAAGACAATATACAGGCTGCCAACCATCAACTGTCTCTCAACAGAGACCAAAACCTGATGGGCACCCTTCCCTGCCCAGTTGGGCACCTGCCCTCTTGGCAGCCAGACACCCTCTACTCTTGGGGTTCACCCCACACAGTCCCCTTCCAGGACAGTCAACATACATTCAAACCTGCAAGAGAATCAAAGGTCAATATAACATATCAATACAATGAAACATAATATTGGCATCATGGCCGCTTCAGGCAGCCAAATCCTACTAAAGTCTATTCTTGACCTTCCTATAAATTGTCCTTGTCTCTTTGGAGCCATGTCCATGAAGATGCAGGCATCATCTAAGTCTATTACACAGTATTGTGGGGCTCCCGGCAGCAGGAGTGATCGCGAGCAATGTTACCAGCATCAGGCAGGTCGAGCACGCCATAGCTTGAGCTTGAGTGGGTAGCGTTGATCTCGATCGACGCTCCATTTGGTGACGAAGTCTTCCTGGATGGACCCAGGTCGCTACGCCGTCTACCTTGAGAGCAGTGGGGGTCGTCAGCACCACAGTGTAGGGACCCTTCCAACATGGTTCGAGGGTCTCCTGGCAGTGCCTTCTGTCGTGAACCCAATCTCCTGGTCTGTGCTGATGAGGAGTTGGGGTTGGGCTGGTCTCGTACAGATTCTAGGGCCTGTTGCCTTCCTTTCACAGGCAGGAGGAAGGGCCCATGAAATCTCTGCCCTGAGGAACTGTGAGCCCCACCCTTAAATGTCCCAATCAGACTAGAAAATCCACAAATACCTTTTAAATCTACCCCAGAATTTCAAAATCCCAACCCAGCACAGAATATCACATAGCAAATCAAAGTTCTCAGCAAACAAACAGACAGAGATGTTTACTAGTTAGGCGGGCCGATTCCACCTCTGACAGAGAGCAAGCGCCCTTAGGGAAAGATCCCAGCGGCCGCTCAGGGTACTTTGCTATCGGTCAGAGCACTCAGCCTCAAAGAAATCAAGCCTGTGGTTGTTTTTTTTTTTTTTTTAGACACAAACAGAAATTTCACTAGCTAAACAATTTTCAATAAAGACAGATAACATTTCCCATTAAAAACTTTGAATCACCACAGGAGAAAACAAAACAAAACAGGAATAAACAAAAACACTTTTACACAGGCGCATGCCACATTTACAGCACAAAATACCAACAGATAACCTAGTTTGATTAACATATTATCTAGATCCCGTGGGTAACCTGGGTTAAACTTAGGCATGTTATCTAAATTACAGTCCTAGGTCTCCAGAACACTGAGTTGATAAGTTAACTGGAGCCCTCTGAGGGCCCAGGCAAAGGAAAAATGTGCCCTCTAAGTCCAGTATGAAACCAGTTTCTACCTGAAATAATACTTTAGAAATTGGATTACTGCTATCAGTCCCTTTTAAGACTTTGACATAAGCTATTTAACTTTTGTTTAGGGAGGGAACATATAACCTTTAATTGCCCTTAGTTTAAGGAAAGCAGGGTTTTCTAGATTTAAGAGATTAGCTTAAAAATAGTATTAAATAAATCTGTGAGGCAAGCACACTTCCTGCCCCATAAAACTCCACCTTAAAGCTCCACCCTTGACTAAATCAGAGGGAGGGGCCTTTGCTGTTTCAAGATGGCGGGCCCCAGGGGAGCAGCAAGTCATGTGCCTGACATGGCGGCTGCCAAATCATGCAGCCCAAAATGGTGGCTGTCTACACTTTTTTTTTGGAAATCAGGATCAATAAGCAAAGGCATTTAGTTACCAGAATTACACAAATTTTCCCAATTCAATCCGAACCTTAAACTTTTAGCTGGCAAGTCAAAATATTCAGCATTTCTCAATCAGTCTAGAATCTAGCTAGCATCCCCCCCCTTTTTTTTTCTTTGGGTAAATGATCAGTCTTGGGCTCCATCCTGCACATCTGCAAAGAGACTCTAGCTCAAAACTCTATCCAAAATCGGACAGTGCGCGCATTAGTTTTAAGCCAGCTTTTCTCTCTACACGTGCACAGAAATCCCAGACGCATTTACTTGAGGAGGGGGTGACCTGTTTTCACAGATCCTCACTCAGATGCCCACCTGACCGAAGTCGTGGAGCCACACAAAGGAGGGGAGAGGGCAGGCCCCCTCCCTCTACACTCACACACTTTCACCAGACATTCACTCAGAGTTTAAACAATAACAACTTCCCAACTCCTGAGGGAGCTCTACAGCCTCCCCCAATCTCCTTGAAATGATCAATCACAATACCCAAAGGAGCAGTCTGAGTCCGTCCCATAACATCCGTCCAGTAAGTCCACAGAAAACAGAAAAACACAGACACAGACAAACAGAGGGCCCCAAAGAACAGCCTTCCAACTCCATGGAAGCAACTAGACGATGGCCTTACGCCAAACCGGCGGGAGCGACCCGCCTCGTCTCAGATTCTCAGATTGAGGGGGTTCCTACAGACCTTCCGACTCCGCGGAAGCAAAAGTACACCCTTCCAGATGGAGGGTCGAGGCGTCCCCCGACTCCTCCCGCCCTTGATCCTCCTGTGCGTCCACTTAGATCATTGCGGGCGATTACAGATTTCAGAAGTGAGCTCACACAGAACAGATACAGAACAAGTCCCTGAACAGAGGCAGTAGAAAACTGCCTAGGAATGCTTCTCTTCTACCTTTTTTAAAAGATAGGCCAGATTCGAACCCTTAGCCAGTCCGAGTTTTGACGGTGAGTACCATCTAGAAGCCATTCCTTCAGATACAGGAAAAGTCCCTTAGAGATAACATATATCACACAGAACAGAATACACAACACACAGACACTTACCGCGGCCAGTCAGACTCTACGGATTGGGGGGTCCCTCAATGGTTTTGGGGATCCCGGACGAGCCCCCAAAATGTTATGCCCAGATTTCAGGATCCCCAAGAAACCACATCAGGGAGCCAGCCAGTCCGATGCAAAAGCATAAGAGTCTTTATTCGAGCTAGCTCGGCTCCCCCACCTTGCCGACGCAGCGACAGGAAGCAGAGAGAGATAACTCTGTGTGGAGACCGGTTATATAGGGGGAGTTGGAGGAAGGGGAGGAGAAAGGACTGTGCTCTGCCGATTGGCCAGGCACAAGTCTGTGTCTTGTTCCTGGGTGTGGCTAGTAGAGGCTTAGACTTCCGGGAAGAAGCTCCTTGCCAAGCACGTGGCCAAGGTAAGATGGAGCACTTACCCTGGGGCAAGGTGGAGGGCCTAGCCCTTACCCTGGGGCAAGGTGGAGGGCCTAGCCCTCGCCCTTTCAGCATCCCTATAATTCGGATGTTGGTACGCTTGAAGCTGTCCCAGAGGCTCCTTACTCTATCTTCGTATTTTTAGAATCTTTTCTCATTTTGCTTTTCCGGTTGGGTGTTTTTTGCTTCTTGGTATTTCAAATCGTTGTCTTGATTCTTGTGATCCTCTAGTCTGCTGTTGGAAGTCTGTATAATATCCTTTATTTAAGTCAGTGTATGCTTAATTTCCAGTTGGTCCTTTATCATAACTTCGAGGGTCTCACTAGATTTCTTGAGGATCTCACTACATTTATCGGCGGTCTCACCAATCTTTTCGAGGGTCTTACTAAATTTATCTGCGGCTTCTAGAACATTCTTGAAAGACCTTAAAAGTGTGGTTTTGAACTCTATATCCAGCAGTTTGCTTTCCTCCATTTCTGTCATTTGTGTCCTTTTTCTTTGTCTCCGCATTTTTTATGCTTCCCTGTGTTGATAAAGTGGTTTTCTGTGCTAAGTGTCCTCTAGGGCCCAGTGGTTCAGCCTCCCCAATTACCTGAGGAGGACACTCTTGGTGCACCCCCTTGTGGTCTTTGTGCACAGTCTGGTTGTAGTTAAGCCTTGATTGTTGTAGGTAACACTGGGAGGGATTGGCCTCCAGGCCAATTGGCTGTGAGAATCAGCTGTGTCTGCAGTGGGAGAACTTCTGTCCTGGATCTCTAGGGAGGTGCTAATCTAGCCTCTGCCTGAGGCTATCCAGCAAATGCCTCCATGCGAGGCTTGGACGGGGCGGGTCCCAGGGGATCAACAGGGCGGGCGGAGTGAGCAGTTATGGCTGCTCTCAGTCCTGCCTTCAGAGGCCCTGCTTCTCAGTGTCCCAGCAATTGCTGCAAGTACCTCCGAGAGAAAGCTGCCCTCGAGTTCCGACTGACGCCAGACAGTTTCGCTTCTCCCATATGAGTCTGGGTCCCCAGAGACTCGCCCGGAACTGGAGCTCAGCCGCCAGCCCTCTCCGCGCACGCCTCTGTACCTTAGTATTTTACTTCCGCACCGCACCTCTGAGTCTCGGTATGCTTTTCTCTTTCCTTGTAGTTGTAGAATTTCCACTCAGCCAGCCTTCCTGTGGTTCTGGGTGATGTCCATTCTGTCTTTTAGTTGTATTTTTGAAGTGGTTGTGCGAGGCAGCAAACTCCGGTGTTTACCTATGATGCCATCTTGGTTTCCTCCCTGAGTTAAACTCTTTCTCTGCACTGGGAAGACTGTTTGTAGCAGCTCAGAAGGCAGATTGACATATTTCAACAGTGAACATGGGTTGGTTTTTCCTAGAAGAACTTTTTTAAAAATATATTTTATTGATTTTTTTACAGAGAGGAAGCAAGACGGATAGAGCGTTAGAAACATTGATGAGAGAGAAACATTGATCAGCTGCCTTCTGCACTTTCCCCACTGGGGATGTGCCCTCAACTAAGGCACATGCCATTGACTGGAATTGAACCCGGAACTCATCAGTCCGCAGGCCAACACTCTATCCACTGAGCCAAACCAGTTAGGGCTTCTAGAAGGACTTCTTAGGGGGATTTACTTCTTGGGAGTATTGGTGATGGTTTAAAAGACTATAAAATTGCAATCATTCTTGAAAGTTCATTATTTGATTCCCTCTTGTCTTCTTTAAAATATCTGAGTGATCCAGGATAGTGTATGTGCTATTGCCATAACTGGCTTAATTCGTACAACCATATAACTGTCTAGTTCCTATTTTCTCAACTCATGTCCAGTCTAGTAGGAGAAACTTTGCCAAATGCCTTGTCGGTTTCAAAATCTGTTAAATCTAGGGCAGTGTAGAGACACCATGGTGCATAGGAGAGGGAATGGAGCTTAAAGTCAGATTAACTTGAGTTCAAACACTAGTCATGTCAACTGTTAATAACTAGAAAAAGCCACTTCCCTGGGCTATTTCTTCCCATTAGCAAATTGTGGTCACACACACACACACACACACACAGAGGCAGACTCTTTTATTGACTTTCTGTTTCCCACCACTGAGCTCCAAGGACTTGTCTTGAGTTTACCTGATTTCACCAAGGCCTCCCATACCACAGTCGCATCATTTTTGCTTTTAATCTGCAGTCGGATCCCCGACCCCAAATGATCAACGTAGAACTCAGAGAAGAGCTGGGGTTTCCCAGGGCTTCGATAGCAGAGCTCCAGTTCCTGTAGAAAAAGTGGTGATGTGAGAAGCCACCATTCATCCTGCAAGTGAGGTGTCTCCCCACCTGACACCTTCTTGGCCCTGCTCAGCCCCATGGGGACCCTGGGGTGATCTCTACTGAAATTAATGCCACCTCAGGCACTGCTCTCTTCCTCATTTTTCACAAATCCTGACTCAGAAGGAAGAGGACAAGGCTGGGTCAGGACTCATCTCTAATGTAGTGCTCACACATCTTAAACCAGATCCTTCTTCCTCCATCTTGAACCAGATCGTCTTCCACCTCCTCCATCCTGAACCCAAAGTCACATTTCTCCAACCCAAAGCCTGTCTTCTCAATGTATCCTAAGTTTGAAACACTTTCAATCAACAGAAAATTCATGTGCTTGACACACTTTCAATCAATAGAATATTTATATCCATCACCTTTGCTAAATCACATTCAAGACAACTCTTGATTCCCAACTGTCGTCAAAAAATGTTCTCTTCCCATTTTACCCACACTCAGTAAATGGCACCACCATTCACTGAGCACTCATGTTCCAGATTCAGGCATCATCCTTAACTCCTACCTTTCGCTTTCATAAGCCAAGTCCTATTGGCTGTACCTGCAACATATACCCTCAATCCATCAACTTATCTTCATCTCAGCTGCTTCTTCCTTAATCAAGGTATCTGCAGCTCAAGCCTGTACCATAGCAATAGTCTTTTGTTTTCACTCTTGTCTTCTTCTTTTTTTTAATAGATATTTTTATTGACTTCAGAGAGGAAGGGAGAGAGAGATAGAAACATCAATGATGAGAGAGAATCATTGATCAGCTGCCTCCTGCACACCCGCTACTGGGGGTCAAGCCTGCAACCCAGGCATGTGCCCTTGACTGGAATCAAACCTGGGACCTTTCAGTCTGCAGACTGATGCTCTATCCACTGAGCCAAACCAGGTAGGGCACACTCTTGTCTTCTTATCACCCATTCTTACCCAGCAGCCAGAGGCATCTATGTGAAACTAAAGCAGGTGTTGTATTACCAAGCAACAACCTCTGAGATCTAGTCATTGCACTTTAAACAAAATCCAAACTCCAGGTCAGGGCAACAGAGTTGATGGGCCCTAGGAAACTTCTGTCTCTTGTGTGACCCCAGCTTACTTCTCTCTTTGCTACACTCAGTAAGCTCTGCCACACTGACCTACTATTTGTCATGTGGAGGGATCAAGGTTGCCTGCTTCTCTATCCTCTGGACCTACAGTGCTCTGTTACAGATATTCACCTCCCAGAACCTTTCTTGTCACTCAGGTCTCAGCTTATATGTCACTGCTCAGCGGCTCTTCCCCTGACCACCCAATATAAAGCAGCCCAAGTCATTCTCTTAAGTGACATAGTTGTGTTTTCTTCACAGCACTTCATGGTTCTAGGTCCATTTCTTTATTATGTTGGTCTCATCCACCAGAATGTCATCTTCCCAAGGGCAGGGCCTTATCTGTCTTGTTCACTGGACCATCACAAATGAAGACAGCACATGGTTGGCACTGGGTAAATGTGTGGTGAATGAGTGAATCATGTCTCTCATCCCTTGTTAAGATCTGACACAGCAGGAATATCTAAGGTATTCATTGTTAGATTCATGTTTCTCAACTCAAAAGATACATAACATTTCCTCATTACTCCTGGAAATGTATTCCATCTGTCATTGTCACTTCAAGTGGTCCAAGGACTCATCTCAGAACAGAAGAAAAAGAAAGGATTGAGTCTAGTTCTACAACAGACTACCATTCAGGTGAAACTCTGATCCTCAGCAGCAAGATCTTGGCAATGGTGAACATTTGGATATCGTGGATGAATATCCAGTGGCCTGACGTCATTCCCTTTGGTGAAAAGGGGAGACTGAGAAAGGATAAAAGACAGCCCCTGATGCCCAGACCTGATGTGATGCCCACAACTAGACCTCATTGTTATTACAAACTAATATTATGCCGCCATCTCTGCTGTGTTGCCCTCCTGTTGGACACATACTATTTCACAATTGCCAAACATCCCCCCACTGCAAAATTGACTATTTCAGCATTTATACATTCACAATTGTGGTGCCTGTCCTTCTTAGAGAGTAAATGTATACAGGTTCCCAATCATAGAATTGCCCTACCTTCTCAGAATACCAGGTCTAGACCAAATCTCCATTTCCTTAGATCTTCCCCCAAATTACCCAACTAAGGCCCAAGTCCTGAAATAGGTTCTTTCTGAGTCTCTTAATCTGAGGGGGTCCCATGGTTCTCATTGGTGTGGGTTCTCTCACTGCAATGAGTAATAACTCCAATGTCTTCAGCTACGGAAGTGTTCCTGGTGGTTTTGATTGGAGAGCATCGACTCCCTATAGCCCAACACTTCTCAGTTCCCCTAAGTCAAACCCCATGTTGTCCCTATCCTGAATGTAACCCTTTCTCCTACTAATGATTTTTCTCCCAACTTTTGAAGGATTCCTGCTCACCCCAGATCCCACTCACTATCTGCCAAACTCCAGTTGGGCCTGTCCATTGGAAAGCTCTGAGACCTGACCCACAGGTATTCCCAAGCATGACCTCTGGCCTTAGGGAGTGGGGAATATATGGACTGCTCACCTCAGGGATTATTTCCATTTTCTGTGAACCAGACACAATATATCGGGAGCCTATGTGGAGCGGAGTCAGCGGGGGTGGCTTGTGTATTTGCACAAACTGGAACTTCCTTTTTTCATTATTTATGGCCTAGGAAGCATAAAGAACACTGTTCAAGGGAGGAGGGCATCTGGGTCTCCCTCAGAGATTCTACCCTTTGGACTCTGATCTGAACAAAGTGAGGTAGGACTTTCACATGTTGATGTTTGTGGGGTGGCTATACCACCATGAATTCCTCCTTCCTTATCCTTCATGACTGCTACACAGAGATCCCCACACTTGGGCCTATATTATGTTCAGGGTGGGAATTGAAGCATTGCTAGAGAAGAAGTGAGAATGAAGAAGTGGGTATACATCTGGGCATGGATCCCTCCCATCCTTCTGACTCCTGGAAAGAGATTGCAAAAGGGTGTCCAGCAATGAGTAATGGAGCAGTGAGCTCAGTTCGGGGAGACCTTAGGGACCCAGGAGACCAGTCCATGTCCTATCCTTATGCCCAGTAGACCCATATCAGGGGCTTTCTGGATGCACGTCATGTCTTTTTCAGCCCACCCTGGCCTGACTTTCTGGCTATTGGAGTACCTTCTCAATGGTGCAGTCGCTGGGGAGTAGGTAGAGGTGGAAGTTGACTTCCTCAGGATGGAGGCGATGGTAGAGCAACACGCTGGAGATGACAGGAATGCTTAGGAAAGAGTGGATCTTTCTCAGTAGAACTCCCATGGGGGAGAAGCTGGGGTTCTCTAGGACTGTGTAACGTGGCTCCACCCTGGTTGGCTTCTCCAGAAGTATCCCATCCTCTTTAAAGTGGGCTACGTGGAACCATGAGATGTCCACATGTTCCTCTGTGAAAAAAATGTATTTGAGAGATGAGTACTTAGTGCCCTCACTGAGTCAGGCTTGACTGGGGCAGTGTGGTCCTTGTGCAGAGGTTCAGTGGCCTTTCTGGGGAACCCAGCAGGGAAGGCAGTGTGCCTGTGTCTGGGGCCTTTTGGGGTTGTGGTCAATAGGTTCTCTCCAGTTGGAGCACCACTGGAATCTTCTTAAGCCAAATCTATACACACCTCCAGGTCCTTGAGCTGGGAAAGATATGGATCCCATGGTTACCTGTGTTACTGTGCAATCTGTAACTTTGAGGGCCATTGAGTAATGCTGGCAGGTGTGACTCCAGGCAGATAGAAACAAGGAGAAAGAGAGTCGGAAATGGAGTGACCAAGGTAGTGTACATTTGTCGTGTTTGGTCACCCACCATTTTCAGATTCTTTTTGTGAAGAACCTCCTCCTCCATCATTGTGTGGGTCTTGGCTAAATACAAGCTGGGCCTCCCACTCGGGAAGCTTGTGACACAGGTTGTGACCAAGACTTGACCAAGTGGATGCTTCTAACCAGGGCCTGGATCTAGAGATGATGAAGCAAAGATGAAAAGACAGAGATTCTTTTGGCAGCAGCAGTGGGGTCAAGAGACCAGCAGCCACCATGGCAGGAGGGCTCTATAGTGGCTGTGTCTGCCATAGAAGTCTCTATATTTTTTCCTTGGCTGTGTTCTTGTTTTCTCAACAGTCTTTGGTCACTGCTTTTTTCTTTTCTCTGTAAAGCTTTTTGCCTAATTGTTTCTTAAGTCTATGAGCTACTAAATAATCTTTTTATACATTCCTTTTCTGTCCAAATCAGCCTTAGTCTGCATGG